ACTAATGCCCTCAAAGGAAATACAAACCAAAACGGTGTTTCCCAGCCTCCCTTGCAGCTAACCCTGACCAGGTTACTCAGCCCTGGCCAATGAGCTGTCTGTGAATGCTGAGTTGCAGTTCTTGGAAACTCCTTCAAGGAGCTAACTCAGAAGGGTCATCCCTCTTGCCTCCCCCTTCTTCCTGCTGCCTGTGGCTTGAAACTCACATGGAACTTAGGGTTCCATGAGCCATCCTGGATCAAGAGGTGGGCTTGTGGGGATAGAAGCCAAATTGCTGAGAATGAAAGAACAGTACAATTGGAGGAGTCTTTGATGCCTTAATCCAGGGGTCCTCAAACTAGGGCCCACGGGCCACATGCAAATACAAATATTGTATTTGTTCCCGTTTTGTTTTTTTACTTCAAAATAAGATATGTGCAGTGTGCATAGGAATTTGTTCATAGTTTTTTTTTTAAACTATAGTCCGGCCCTCCAACAGTCTGAGGGACAGTGAACTGGCCCCCCATTTAAAAAGTTTGAGGACCCCTGCCTTAATCAAACCACCAAGTCAGTCCTGGATTAGCTACCTAGCCACTGACTTATTTTAAGTGAGAAAATAAGTCCTTATGTATTTAAACCAATGTTGTTTTGGGTTTCCCATTTTATGAAGCTGAACCTACCACTGACTGAAACAGTGGCATGTTTGCTACCTAAGATATCTGTCACCATAATATTGACTACAATACTGTTTAAAATGTCTATAAAATATCTTTAAGACATTTTAACTACCATTTTTCCACTAAAAGCCTGTAGATCCAAGTTCAAGTATTTCTTTTACTTTAATGGGAACTTGCAATGTGTAAGACCAAGGAAAAGTTACACTATCCGAACTTCACCCATCAACCGATCCAAGTTTTCATCTGTGGCATCAGGAAACTGGGGGAGAAAGGTTCCTCCTGCTTGGATAGACCTGAACAGATCAGGAAGCTAATCACAATCAACCCACTGTAAACCTACCACTCATAAAATTATCTTCATTTTATTCAAATGTTACTTTTCACATATCTTTTTGAAGTATGAGTTTCCTAACTTCACTACTCCCAGCATACAATAACATTTCCTTTGATTTGTTACAAATAAGACCCTAGGTCTAGTATAAATTGGGTTTTGTCAAAAGCATGTCTTTTGCTCTGTTCCCAGGTTTGATGGTATCAAACAACAGTATAGCCCCTTAGTTCTTTTCTTTGTAGGAAAAAAAGGCGCCATTTTGGTAAAGATTAGACTGTGCACACACATCTGGTTTTCTTCTCCTTCAAGGCCATGGGGAAATTATACATTCCCACCCTCTTCAAGGTCATGTGATTGGTTCTCACCAATAGGCTGTTGAGAGGAAGTGACAATGTGACATTCCAAACCAAAGCATATAGTTGCTGCTGTGACTGTCTCCAGTGGTGAAAAAGGCCAGATGGTGCAGCTATGAGACAATGGAGACAACATCAACCTGGGTCCCTGAGTGACTGTGTGTGCAGCAATCCTGCCAACCCACCCCATTCACATAGTATGAGCAAGAAAAAAAAATGTACACTGTGCTAAAATAGCATCCCTTCACCATTTACACCCCCATTCTATATACACACAGCATACACACTTTTATACCAGAAAAAAAAAAAGTTTGCTATTTTGCTTCAACTATTCTATCATTTCACTATTGGTTCTGGCTACAGAAAGAGATTGAGCTAATGTCCTCAGGGATCAGATGGTGATGACTCCCAGGCCCCTCATCTGGGTTTTTACTGAGAGTCCCATCTCGATTTTCCCTGCATCAGGAAAGAAAGTCAGAAAATGCAAGTACTTGGAGCTTATTATCTTTGCTTCTTGCAGAAATGCCTTCACTGAATTATGATTCAGGGTTATGCCAGTTTAGGAGGCTGATATAAGAAATGTCTACTTGAAATGCACTTCTGTGTCTTTTATAAAATCACAGTTGAGCACAACTTTGCTCTCTGGATTACCCAAGGCCTCACATGTGGACCTGTGAAATAGGCACCTGCTGAAGTTCAATATCAGGAAAAGCATTTGCCTCTGCAAATGGACTTGTGTTACAGAGTTTTCATTCCCTGACATTAGCAAGCAATGTTGTTTGCTTCCCAACTTAACTCTCAGGATACTGGGGACCCAATTCAGGAACCAACCATGGAAACAGGCTTATCTAAGTTCCTGCAAAATCCACATCTGCCTTCTTTAGATTGTCGCTCTTTTTTTCCTCATAATTTTCATAGTGTATATAATATTTTATGTTTTCCAGCTTGAAGAACACAGAGTCTATCACCTTATACAAAATTAGGAATTCCATCCTTACCCAAGAATTTACACTCAGGAAAATGATACGAGGAGATCATGTCATAAGATCATCTATAGAGCCAGTATCACTATGGAAAGCCTGAATTGCACGAATAGATGATTTCTGTTAGCTTGCATTTCACATCCTGAAATGTTTAGTGCTAAAGAAATTTGGGAGATTTCACTAGGAAGCATTACTTTAGAAAAAATCATTAAGAGTAGCCCTGACCGGTTTGGCTCAGTGGATAGAGCGTCGGCCTGCGGACTGAAGGGTCCCAGGTTCGATTCCGGTCAAGGGCATGCACCTGGGTTGTGGGCACATCCCCAGTAGGGGGCATGCAGGAGGCAGCTGATCGATGTTTCTCTCTCATCGATGTTTCTAACTCTCTATCCCTCTCCCTTCCTCTCTGTAAAAAAATCAATAAAATATAGTTTTTTAAAAAAAGAGTAAACCCAGATGGATAGCTGGGGTCTGCCTAATTCACACTCTTTTAATCCTCTGCTTAAAGAGGCCCTCTTGTAACTAACTTTAATCAAGACACCAATCCATGAAAATAGTCCCATTAGTACTTGACTAAGCCTTAAAAACTAAACAAAAAACTTTTAACTTTATTTTTTATTTTTTTAACTTTATATTTTTCATATTACAAAAACAATACAGATACACTAAAGAAGGAAATATCAGAAAAGGAGGGAAGAAAAAAGCAGAATCGGTAAAAAGTGATACTTACTGGCAAATTTTCTGAGTTCCAACATCCATGCCTAATTCATCTGCATATAGGCCTGGGAGGCAGGTCCTATTACAATTGTCACTTTATAGATAAGGACTTGGAGGTGTACCAAGGCTAAATTGCTTATCCAATGTCACACCTCTCAGCCAATTAATGATAGAGGCAGAATTTGAATCCATGGCTGTTTGACAAAGTTCATTAACTTAACCTTGAACAACTAAATTACATCTAGCCAGCCAGAACCACTGTAGATAGCTCGGTGTATCTCTTTCAGAATCTTTTTCTATATATAGTATATACCTATGTGTGTGTGTGTCTGTAACAAAAGTAGATGTATACAGTACATGCAATTTTCTAAACTGCTTTTTACATTGAAAGGAAATTGAAGTTCTCAAAATATGTTAAGTTCTCTGAACAATTTCAAAGGCCTTTCAAAATCTAATTGTATTATATCTATTCACTGTGTCCCCCCAACTCAGCAAAGATCACCTGTGAAATAGTGGGGGACATATGTCTCATAAAAATCTCCATTAGAAGAAATACTAGTAAGTCAAAGCTCACAGAAATTCACAGAAAGTTGCTGCTCTGATGAAGACTAATCATCAAAAGCCCAGAGTGCAGCCACTGTAGGCAGATGTGGACACAGACACAGTCCATAGCCGAGAGCCACAGTAAACGTCAGCATTAATGCAGTTAGCAAATGACATTTTGTTCATATGCCAGAAACAAAGTTAATTCTGTCCTTCTTTTACTCCCAAATCAGTGGTTTTCATGAACACCAATTATGCCCATGTGCAAGGACTAATAGAATTGTAATCAGAAAATGTGTTTCAATGTCACACACTACATATATGTGGGAGAACCAAGGTCCAAATGACACCTCTGTAATGTTTGAAACCAAAGAATCAAGATTGTACTTAAGTGAATAAATGATCACCTTTAACAACTGACATAATAAAAAGTTCTTGGGTGTATGATTCTTTTTTGTTGTTGTTGTTCCTTGCTGTGGGACATTAATCCTGCCCAGGTTCTGCTGATATTCTTGGCTTTGTCAACCATATCTAAATATATGAACACGCCACTCTCTCAGACAGACACTGACCGAAGATCAGAAGCCAGAGAAACTATGCTGGTGGAAACAGAGAGAACTGTGGATCCCACTTCTGAGATTGCTGTGTGGCTTGGGGTGTCTGTGTGTATTGTGTTGTGTTGAAAATGAGAGCCAGAAAGACTATGAGCTGGGGAAATGTCTGTACTTAAATGTAAGTGTGATGTTCTAAATTTACATTGGATCTGATCCTATCTATGCAGAGTAAATTGCTCAATTGAGGTGGATTAATAACAAGATAAAGAAAACGAACACATTCCAACATCAAGTACAAATGCTCTGGGGGTCATCGCCTGTGTTAGATTACCCATTGCACCTCACCCCGACATTAGCATTAGTGATGATCAACTGGCTCTCTGTGGAGGAAACTATGCCTTGGCGAAGTGCAGAGGTTTCATTTCCTGGACAGCCACTGCAAGTGCAATCTGTACAGATAGTGCATGTGCAAATCTGTCCATGCACGTTAGAGAGTTTGGAAAATTTTAAAAATGCATCTGTGTGAACCTTAAAATATAATGCCTTTAGACCTGAAGTCCTACTTCTGTCAACATGAATTAACTAAATATTTTGCACTTATTCTGTGCCCACTTCTTATCAATGCAGAATTGCTTACTGGAGGAGAAATACACTCTTTAAAATTCTATGTAACTTCTCCCTCTAAATAATGCCATAAGTTTTCTTTTTAGAATGACAACAGTAGATTCAGTGACAAGAGTGCTACCACATACCAAGCAGACAGACAGAGTGCTGGTTATTTTTGTGAGTTATTTCAATTAATTTTCAGAAATGAGTCCCTGTGTCATAGAACTATTGTCATTTTGTCTATGCACCTAATTACTAACCTAAAAGCTGCAGTTCAGTTCAGCACACATTGAGTACCTACTATGTGCCATGCACTGGAAAGCTAGAGGAGAAACAATGAAACAATTTCAGTAAAATGCAATTAAATGGCTATGAGAAAGGCCAATATGAGATACTAATTATAAAAATTCCTTAAATACAAAATGATAATTCCTTCTGGCTATGCTCCAGTGGTCTCCAAACTACTTCCTTACAAAGGCCCTTTCCCATCCACCCCCTCACTATGAAAGGGCATTTCTTTGCTTGCTGTCCAAAGCGACTATTTCAGGTAATGGAAGAAATTGCAACAGAAGAAACATATAAACAAGATAAGTTTTCAAATGCATCTCTTAGGTACTATTCAGAACAAAATGAACAGAAATAAACAATCCTCCAATATCAGGTGACATATTTTATACTTTTCCACCCTGCATTTTAGGAAGGCAGCAGAAAGAGAAACTCTCCTAAATCAGGGTTTCAGAATCAGATGCTGGTATTAGAAATAAGATTAACCCGGTCCCTTAACAATCAAATTTATGACTAGTAAAGGGTTATGAAAAATTCTATCTCTATGTCAAATGTAAGAAACACAGTCTTTGGAGGCATATAATGATAAACTGCAGCTTGAGCAATACGTGCGGGGAAGGGAATGAGCAGTTCAAGAGTTCAAAACATGTTCTGTGGAAAGGTGTGCAGTGAAAGAGAAGGGCTGGCTCCAGACAAAGGCACGGAAAGGTCATCCTTCTAGTCATTTCATCTTCATTACAACAGGGAAGCCTGTGGCCAAGGGCACATGCCAGGCCTCCACCTGCACACTGCACAGAAGCTTAGGACCACCAGGAAACTGATGTACTAAACAAAAGTAAACACATGGAGTGCTGGCAGCCACCCCTAGACTGGGGCTTCCGAATGCAGCCTCATCCACCCAAAATAAATGTGATATGGGCAATCTCCCCCACCCCTTCCCCTGCCTTTTTTTTTTTTTTTTTTGGTGTGAGTGATAGATTAATTAAAGATTACAATCTATCTTCCTCACAAGGCCAGAGAATTGGACTTGCAATCAGCAACCTAATTTTCTTTCAGGTAGCTGCCAAGCTTAAATTTGTTCTACCAAATAAAATGATTTCCCCCATACCTGCAGCTCAAAATTTCATGTTCCAATGATGTTCATTATTTGCCCTGTAACTCAACCCTCATCTTTCTGTTTTCGGAATTGGGGGAGAAGTTCATTTCGTTTACTGATTATCAGCAGACTGCCTGAGAGATAGGCTAGGGCTGTTGTAATGGGGAAAGGAGCCCTGACTCACCGTGGACTAGTGAGGGGTTATGAAAAATTCTACAAGGCAAAGGTTACTGGCTTTCCATTTTGGAGTGGGGTCCACATGGGTGGACAAGTCTTCCCTCCTCCACCCCCCTCCAAACTCCTACACAACCAGCTTCCCTAATCCAGCCTCCTCCCCATTCCAAAGGGAACCTTGCTCTGTCCCTGCCTACCTCAATGCCCCAAATGAACTGACAATGGGGACCCGAATTCTAATCCCAGTCTTCAAAATAGTTGTTACCACAACAGCACAACTAGACTCCCTGCCAGTTTGAATTTGGGTTTTAATAGATGGATTTGTTTCTAGCTGCGAGTGACACGGTGTGCTCTCCCCTGCCTATGTCAGCATGACCAGGAGAAAACGTAAATCACACAGTGGTGGTGAAGAAGATGAAAGCAACAACTATAATTTGTTGAGTTGAAAGGCAGTATCCATAGTGAGAAAACCAACTCAACCACTTAGTAGCTGCATGACTTAGAAGCTCCATTCTGCTAACCCTTTACCTACCCACCTGAAAAAGGTACATCTATGTCATTGAGGTGTTTGTGATTAAGGAGTAATTTGGGTGACAGATGAATAAATAGAGAGATGATGAATGAATAGATGGATAGATGAATGAAATAGAAAGATGGGTGAATGAAGGGCAGGAAGGCAGAAGGAAGGAAGGAAGGAAGGAAGGAAGGAAGGAAGGAAGGAAGGAAGGAAGGAAGGAAGGAAGGAAGGAAAGGAAAGGAAGGTAGGTTGGTTAGTTGATATTGATATTTTAAAACCTTTGTCTTCAGCGAACACATAGTGAGTGCTTTTGTTGTTATGCTGAAAATTTGGATCAGGCTACAAAAACAAGAAAATTAAAAGAGAAAAAACAATCCACCTAAAACTAGAGGCAAGTCACCCACTCTTCCTCATCATTTGTCATCATTCTCTCCTCTCCCTTTCCCATCAAGATTAGAAGCCACACCCCATGCCTGCCTGGGATTGCATGAATTCCCTGCTGAGACCTACTGGGAAAGACATGAACAGCACTCTTTGAGGCCACTGTTGTCTGTACTGGGATAAATACTGGCAGCAGGAAGTTACTGAAAGAGAAAAGAAATCCCAGCAGGTCTGAAGCAGAGAGTGCACACACAGTCCAGTGGGCAAAACTGCAGGCAATTCTTCAAATGACAAAAGGTGGCAACCTCCCAGACCAGCCTGTGATATGGGCCCTGAGGTGGGGGTGTGGGGAGAGGGGCAGCTTCCTTCTCATGGGACTTGATCTCCCTCATTCTCAATGGATTCAGTGAATGAACTCATTTGGCTGAGAACCTCAAGCCCTCAAATCAACTGTCAGTGAAAAGAAACAGTTCCATGAAGAATATGACATTTATGCTAAAAACTTACTTAAGGTAGGGCAGAAGAATGGTACCAAAGTATTCCTAATAACATTTTCAAATACATGTATATGTCATGAGGGAGGCGGGGGAGTTATCTAATGACAACGTTTTATGTCATGGTGCATGTGTTCTAAACTAGGATAATAATGCTAGCCAGCACCTAATAAATGCCCCTTGTATACAAGGCACAAATGCAAGATCTAAACTTCCAAACAACTTCATCAGGGCTCTCACTGACATTGCTGACACCAAGAACATTGAGAACTAACATTTAATAAATTCTTAGTGTACATCGCTTGTACAAGACTTGGCATGCAGGACTTGCTGGCCCACTCACAACTACCATCCCCACTTTACCACTGAGGAAACTGAGTCGTAGAAAGCCTACATTTCTTTCTCAAGGTCACACCTCCTGGAAGTGATAGAGATGGGTCCCCTCCAATCCATGTCAAAGGAAGCAGCACTCCCAGAATGTCTGAAGGCGCTCGGTGACGAAGACTATACACTCAGTGATTACAGGGAAAAGGAGATCATTTTAATTGCCCTATTCAAGAGTCAGAATATACCAGCCAAGGTAGGCTTTCTTTTCAAAAATGAATCAAAAGTCCGTAGCCTCAGACACAAACAAAATCTCATTTCTGAGGGCTCCCCCTCTGTGTCAAGGTGGGGTGGGGGCAGGGCATGTGTGTGAAAGAGCCACAAGGCTCTTGCAACATTACATTCCTCTCCTGACTTCACTTTGGAGAATGGAATCCTACAATTAGCTCTGGAACAATAAAAGTGAGTAGTTAGAGCTGCAGTAAGGAGATGGAGAGAAGATAAAGTGGGGAGTGATTACCCTTATCATCCATCTCCCAGACTCTGAAAGAGGGGCCACTGGAGACCTAATCTAGCCTTGGTCCCCATCGCTGATCACTCAGCCTCTGATGGCGGAGGCAGAATTAGCAGGTGGTGTTATCTCCCTGAGCAGACCCTGTCCATCTGCAGCCTCTCCTTGTGGTGCAAAGAGGAGCTCCGTGTGCAGTGTTGGGTCAAGGCAGTGACAAGATGACAGGGGAAGAGAGACAGAATTTTTCCTAGTTGGCATGAACTTGGGGGTTAGGAGGTGTTCTTCAGCCACAGTATAAATCAATATTGCAGAGCATTCTTTTAATACATGTAGTTTTGAGAGAGTAACTATTTAGACTAAAAAGCAGGAGACATGATACATGTGACCTCCACACAGGGTCACCACACCTCTACTTCACAGTGTTTCCTTCTAAGATTCTGGGATGCTTTACTTGCCACATGCCATGTCCTCTTCCACCCTTGGGTCCAATCATGCCAAAACTATCATTTTCCGTTTTCTAAATGTTGGACAAAATGGGGTAAATGTCTAAATCAAAACTGAGTTTCAAGTAAGTTACAATTGTCATCTTTCACCATGAGTCTCTTCATGGTTTTCAGTTGGTTGTTTCAGTGAGCCAGCAAGATTAAAATAGGCAAACAAGATCAATAATAAAGGACAGCTAGTGTTTACTGAGCACCTATACTGTACCAGGTACCATGCAAGCTGATCTTACCTGATTGGTTAACTTAATCTTTATAATACTCTGAGGAAGATAGGATGTCTCCCTCTTTTAATATATGAACAGATGCAGAGAAGGGAAGGCCCCTGCCTAGAGTTGCACGGCCAGTGCATCTGGGATGTCCACATTGCAGATAAGGAGCAACCAATAGTTAGATGTTTCTTTTAAATTCAGGGTTCAACAATTCTAATAGCCATTCCCCCATATGACTTGAATGATAACAATGGCTTATATCCATCTTTCTAAGAACTCGCTTAGCATTCATCTTTTAATTTAGGCACATCTTTATAGGGCTACTGTTTCATAACTAGCCCTAGACTTATTAAAATGAGGGCCCAATGTTAACAAGATGGATGCATGTCTGCCCACATGGGGCTCCCGGAGAAGACAGACATGCAGACAAACATGATGATCAAGTGTGCTAACAGCAATGAAGATCTAGAAAGTTCTGAGGGAACATTCAGGAGATGCACCCAACTTAGTCCTTTAAGACAAGAAAAGACTTTCTAGAGCAGTGGTTCTCAACCTGTGGGTCGCGACCCCTTTGGGGGTCGAACGACCCTTTCACAGGGGTCGCCTAAATACATCCTGCATATCAGATATTTACATTATGATTCATAACAGTAGCAAAATTACAGTTATGAAGTAGCAACGAAAATAATTTTATGGTTGGGGGTCACCACAACATGAGGAACTGTATTAAAGGGTCGCGACATTAGGAAGGTTGAGAACCACTGTTCTAGAGGAACAGCATTTAAATGGAGACTTGAGGAATGAGCTGGAGTTAGACCTGAACATAATGTGGACTGAAGACCAACTCTCAATGAGTAGCAAAAACACAGTTCCGACATTTAGAGGAGCCCACGACTGTACTTGCTGTCTCTCACGCTAGAAGTCTTTACACACTCAAGCTCACCTTGGAGACTCTGTTATAAATGGTCAACTACAGATTCATTTGGAATCTCAAACACCAAATGTGCATGACGAGAGAGCCCCCTGTCTGTGGAAAAGGGGAGAAGTAACAAATCCTGCCTGCAGTGCCAGCTCCTTGTCACTAACCAATCAGCCTCCAGCCAGTGAGGCAAGCGGGGCCACTGGTCCCACCTTCCCCTCACCCACAGATCAGGGACAGTACACACTGACCAGAAAACCAGCATGCTGCCAAGTAATGCACCCTTACTTCAGCCCTCCCCCTCCTTCACTTTTCAGTTCTAGTTGATGAGATAATAACAATCAGTTTTGAGTCCAAACCATGTAGCTCATCCTATTTCCTTGATGATCTTCTCTGTTCTCAAGTTAATGTTTAGAATATAAAAAGAAATGCATGGATTCTCCACGAGTAAAGCTAACATCTGATCAGTGTTGGAGAACAGAGACCCAAAGTTTACAGCTCCTGGCAAGAACTGCCAGTGCAGATCTCACTGTTGCCAAATTCGGGCAACCAGATGAATGGAGGGACAATTAATATAGCCTCTTAAGAAAATTAAAGAGGCTATGCCAGGATATGCTCTTGTATTGAGTGCACACCCATCATTTCATGGAGGTGTCCCTGGATGAGGCGAAGATTTCCCAAAGTTTTGTCAGACAGCAGATCCTCCTAAACTCAGCATGGCCACAGAGTCACCTGGTGGGATTTGGAAAAGTAGACAGCTGATTCCCAAGTCCATAGACTCTGACTCAAAAATCCAGAGTGTATTTCTAACAAGCCAGAGTTCAAGGTCATTTTCCTGGAAGGGTGCGACA